AACAGAGAACTGGGCACCTTTTGTTTCATCCTGTTTTACAGAGAACTACGCATCTTTCACTGTGATTTTTAACTATACTAGTTTCTTTTGTTTTTTGAGATATTTTTGCTACAGGGTATGTGTACTTATTGGAGAGAGAGAGAGAGACAGAAAGTGAGAAATCACCCCCCACCCCCACCCTGGGAGGATGGTCATGCTGCAATCCCTTCTCCTCCATTCTCCTCTTGGTATTTTGTGCACATAGCGACCTTGCGAGATTCCAGCACCTCAACCACGCCACCTACTGGCCCCAGATTGTACTAGATTCTTATCCTTGACAAACATTCCTGAGAAGACAAGCTGGACTAATATATATACATTAGTTACATCATGCATATAAAGATATAAAAGTACATATGAGGGAAATTTGAAAGACTATTAAAAAAGACACAGTTAAAATGGGAAAACTGGATCACTCCATTATATGGTTTTCATAAAACTTTGACTTATATGATCTTCATGTTTTACATTGATCATAAGAATTACTATTATTTTTTAATGATTTATTTTTAGTTATTATTTATTTATTACTATTCTTCAATTTAACCAGAGAAAAACAGAGAGAGAGAGAGAGAGAGTGAGAAAGCAAGACACCTGGTCCAGGACTTGAACTGTGGTTGACCATGTGGGAGACCAGTTTCTGAACCACCACATCATCCACTGGCCTCCTAATTAGGTTATTTAAATAATGGAGTGTAAGTAACTTTTAAAAAACAATCACATCTTCTAAATGTAATATTTACTTTTTCTTATACTAAATCTAATACATGTTCATCATATAAAACCTGAGAAGAGCAGAAACTTACTGTTTCACTGAAACAATAGCTTCACTTAAAATCAGCCAAATTTTCCTTTCATTTTGTACTTCTCCCATGTATATATATATATATATATATATGTGTGTGTGTGTGTGTGTGTGTGTGTATATATATGTATATAGATCTCTTAACAATATTATGAATGCAGTATTTGCCCTTCTTTTATATAACCTTGAGTTATAAAGATTTTTCTCATATCAAATATTCATCAGCAAGTTTTAAATTACTACACAGTCTTACAGCACAACTGTACCATAATATATTTTAAAATTCTCTTATTGTTTGTTTTTAATTGTTTTGCTATCATAAGGAATACTAAATAAATAACCTTATATAAAAATCTTTTATTTTATGTACTCTAAGGAAATGCTTACCCTAAGGAAATAGCAGGCATTTCTGTTAGGCAAATGCCCATTTTTTCCTTTAAATACCTCATATCTTAACTAATAATTTATTTTTAAAAACTATAGACATATATTTTTATATCCTATTTGCTATTTATAATCCCTAATCAGATTTTTTACAAATATTTTTTCTAATGTGAAATAGTTTGATTTTTTAAATATAATAATACATATGTGTTCATCTTTTAATATACCAAATGCATTTTTTATTTTTAATATAAAAATGAGCAACAATAGAAACAAATGTCCATGCTTATATGGATTATTTGTTCTTCATTATTACAAGAAACAAGAAAAGTATAATCTTATATTATTCCTCTTTTTATGAACATACTGACATGGATGTTCTTTTTGTTCTGTCTTGCTTTTCTGTAGTACTTCCTCCTGATCAGATAGATGATAAGCTTATTTAAGAACGTATATATAATGAGAAAATATAAAAAAGTTCAAGAGTCCACATAGGGTCAGTTACTGAATTTTTTGTAGTTTCAAACCAAAAGATTTTTTTTAAGCAAGTCACTACTTTTTTACTTTTGATATAATAATTCTTCCTAATGCTACAAGTAAATGCCTTACTTTGCATTTTAAAATAAGGGAAAAGTGAAAAACTAAAAAAAAAAAATCAAAGCTATATTTAGAAAATTTACACTTTAAAATAACTTTGGAGGATTTCTCATTTCATGCCATTTTTGTAACCAAGAGATTGTATAGATCTCTTTTAACTAGATTACTTTCTTTCAGAGAAAGAAGTATACAGTACTGTTGTTTTCACCAATTTAAGAAGCCATGAAAATAAACTAGCCACTTTCAAACATTTACCAAAACAATATTTTGTTATTAATGAAAAGTATATGATTAATCTGAATAAAAGTAATTATTCTTTCCATTTTATGCCATGCATAATTCGAACTATTCAATGGAAACTCTTATATACCAATAAATATTTAAAGTATGTGATTACTATATCATAAAAATGTTAAAAAGTAAATGTTATTGGCCTTTTTTGTTTGTCTATTTTGTAAAAGCTTATTCATTTATTTCTTCCACAAACAAGACAGAAAGAAACAGAAAGAGACAGCATCCCCAGCAAGACCCTGTTGCTGTAACCCTCCCCAGCTCTCCTTCAGCCCCAAATCATGGCACATGCATGTCCAGCACACTCATAGAGGTCTTTGGACTTGAACCAGGCACTTTCCCAAGTGGAACTGCAATGCAGAGCATTGCATTTTACCACTGCACCACCATCTGACCCCAGGAGTAAATGTCATTGTTTAATGAGTTTCCCCCTCCAACAGATAAATGGGTTATGCAGATATATGAACTCACGGTTGCCAGTACTATGAAGGCCCAAATCTTACTAAATTCTTCCATAAAACATACGCAAAGTTATTTTACCAACACTTCAAAACAAAATTACTTCTTTTAAAACACTGTTACAGCACCTAGGATGCATATTTGATTATAAAAAGCCAAGAAATTTCCAAATTGTTCTAAACTTATATTCTAAATACAAATTTTGAAATATATTTTAAATATGTCATTTTAACATACTATTAAGTTTTCTTAAAAATATCACTCTCACATTTCTTCATTAAAATAGAAACAAAAATTTTAAGACTGCTTATAACATTAATTGAAAGGCAACCATTGGGTATTCTGCTGGAATATTTACTTATGGTCATCTTGGTTATATCTTCATAGTGATGTTTAGTTCTATTTTCCACAGTATTAATATTCTGAAGACAAGCTATACTAGTTAACCATATCTCAGACCTAAAATACCAGAATGATTTTATGTGTAGAATCGGGTTAAGTAGCTTTCAGACTAATCAAAATATGACTGTTTCTTAAAGTCATTAATTTTGATTTTTCACCAATTTAAGAAGCCATGAAAATAAACTAGCCACTTTCAAACATTTACCAAAACAATATTTTGTTATTAATGAAAAGTATATGATTAATCTGAATAAAAGTAATTATTCTTTCCATTTTATGCCATGCATAATTCGAACTATTCAATGGAAACTCTTATATACCAATAAATATTTAAAGTATGTGATTACTATATCATAAAAATGTTAAAAAGTAAATGTTATTGGCCTTTTTTGTTTGTCTATTTTGTAAAAGCTTATTCATTTATTTCTTCCACAAACAAGACAGAAAGAAACAGAAAGAGACAGCATCCCCAGCAAGACCCTGTTGCTGTAACCCTCCCCAGCTCTCCTTCAGCCCCAAATCATGGCACATGCATGTCCAGCACACTCATAGAGGTCTTTGGACTTGAACCAGGCACTTTCCCAAGTGGAACTGCAATGCAGAGCATTGCATTTTACCACTGCACCACCATCTGACCCCAGGAGTAAATGTCATTGTTTAATGAGTTTCCCCCTCCAACAGATAAATGGGTTATGCAGATATATGAACTCACGGTTGCCAGTACTATGAAGGCCCAAATCTTACTAAATTCTTCCATAAAACATACGCAAAGTTATTTTACCAACACTTCAAAACAAAATTACTTCTTTTAAAACACTGTTACAGCACCTAGGATGCATATTTGATTATAAAAAGCCAAGAAATTTCCAAATTGTTCTAAACTTATATTCTAAATACAAATTTTGAAATATATTTTAAATATGTCATTTTAACATACTATTAAGTTTTCTTAAAAATATCACTCTCACATTTCTTCATTAAAATAGAAACAAAAATTTTAAGACTGCTTATAACATTAATTGAAAGGCAACCATTGGGTATTCTGCTGGAATATTTACTTATGGTCATCTTGGTTATATCTTCATAGTGATGTTTAGTTCTATTTTCCACAGTATTAATATTCTGAAGACAAGCTATACTAGTTAACCATATCTCAGACCTAAAATACCAGAATGATTTTATGTGTAGAATCGGGTTAAGTAGCTTTCAGACTAATCAAAATATGACTGTTTCTTAAAGTCATTAATTTTGATAAAAAAAAAATGCTAAAATGTGTTCTCTCTAAAATGCCTACAAATCTCACTATTCTATGTAATCACCTTTTTATTATCTTAAAATGCTAAACCTGTGAGAGGAAGAGAATCAAAGTGGCATAACGAAATGAAGATTATAGGTTATTAAGAATCTTTTAATCATATTAATCATCTGTAATCACATTACAGATATGTTACAAAAATTACTCCTTGCAAAGATGTAAGAGTTAAAATAGAACCCAAAATATATTTATGGCAGTCATTTATTATCTCTGGCAACCCTTCACTTCAATCTAAAGGAAAACATTATCTGCATTATCAAACGAAAACTTATTAATTGCACAGGTTTCCATTGGTAATGAATATAGGACTATCTTCATACAAAGAGAAGTATTTCCTCTCAACAAGCTAAAACAATAAGTGGTATTTGAACTGCTGGTTGAAAGGTAGAGGCACTGGTAATCATTATTTCCCCTTGTTTGTTCAGGCCCTTCCAACAAAACAAACAACCTTTTTGTGATTGGATTGACATGGTGTTAACAATGCATTTAATGCCCAAATCAGTATGAATACAGGTAAAGCTCTCACTAATACCAGTACCAGGATGTTAAAGCCACCTATTTTCTAAGAAGCCAAAAGAAAAAAAAAAAAAAGACAGAGGTTCCCCTCCTTTGGCAAATAAGCCAGTATGCTAGAATTCACCAAGACACATCATATAATAAACTTTAGTGTGATTCTTAAGGCCATATGTTAATACTCTTCTACTATACCTGCTGTCTTTTCAGCAATTCTAGCTTCTGTTGCTTTCTCTTGGAGTTCCAGCTTCAGTTTTAGTTTCCTCTGTTCTTTATCTTCTTTAGTCAGTTTTTCTTGAAGCTAAAACATATTGAAAAAAAAATGAAGATTATTATCTGACAGATATCTTGCACGAATATAATTAATTTCTATGTAAACTTTTGCTTTTCCTGAACCCATATAAATTATATTTAATTTCCTAAATCCATAACTCCAGAAAAAAAATGTAAGGTTGTAAGATATTTTATAAAGTAATGATATAAAATTATAAATCATTCTAATATACACTTAATTGATGTGTATGTAGGCAAGTAAAAGAGAGAGAATATGATTATGAAAAATAAATACTTTGATCATATCCATTCTTTTGTCTTAAAGAAAAAGATTTGTAAGGGACTCTCCAAATAAGATAATGGATATCACAGCTTTAGAGTTTTTCTCAGTAATTCCAATATTTTAAAATAAAATTAATTAAGATAATAATCTTAATATCTGATACAAATCTCCTTTTCAGAATCCTACCCCATCATATTCCATTTAAATTGGTACTGGCACCTGATTCATGAGTGGCATATAAAAAATAATTGCTAAATGAAAGTGCAGAAAATATCTCATGCTTTCATATGAATCCCTCCAATTTGTTTTTAATTCCTCCCTAGGCTTTTGTCATTTGTCTTTTGTCATTTATTTTTCTTCAGACATGACCAACATTGCTAACATCATGCTTCAGTTTGATTAGGTCAAACAAGTAGATATTAAAAATAAGAAAAGTACATAGATGTTAAAAAAGAAAAGAAGGCAAAAAAAAGAATGTTATTTAATAGTATTCTTTAATGGTCACGGAATTATAGAATAAAAGTCAGAAAACAAGATAAAACATGACATAACAAATTGGATTGAGGGAAATACTGCACCTAAGGTAAGATAAATTACATTATTGCAAAGCTTTCCTACTTTAATATTTAATTACATATATTATTGAGGTGAAATACACTAATGAAAAAAGAAAAAAAGTAAAAAAGTATCATGAAACAACCAGTGCATAATACTTCTCATCCTCCATAATGCTAAAGTTTTACTATAATACAATTTGAATGAGTTCTTCTTCTGTTTTGTTTTGAAAGGACAGGTACTTACCTACACTAAGTATCAGCAGTTTATAAAAAAAGGCAGTGATAATACAGCCCACAAAGGCAGGAAAATAACAAAATGAAACTTTTGCATAGCCAGTCCTTAACTCAATTATTCCTTGATGGCAAGGTATGGCAACAACATAAAGCTACTGTTAAAGGATTAAAGTACACAATAAAACTGAATTATGATGGGCAATAAAGCAAATTTAGAAGGTCAACAGCTAAAAGCATACTGTAGAATTATCAGACTTTCCATATTATACCTTTTTATTGCCTGCTCTGAGAATATCCAACTCTTTTAGAAGAAATGCTATTGTCTTCTCTTTATTTAAGTCTGAAGTAGCTTCACATGAAATAATATATTCATAATGCAGTTCATTATTTCTATGTTCCAAAATGCTGTAATAAAGAAAACTATTAAACCATATATACATAGGATTTCTATTATATATGATCTATAAATTGTACACTTCAAATATGAAAGTTTTTTTATTTTCCCCCTTTTGGGTACATGCACTTGCCAAAGAGAGAGATGCAAAGTGAGAAATCACCCGCCAAGCGTGGGTTGCCACACCACAATCTCTTCTCCTCCAGTTTCTGCCTGAGAATTTTGGGCACTCACGCATATATGTCCAGAGTGATTTTTAAGCCACCAGGTCAAACCATGGTCAGCCATGTGGGAGTCTAGCACTTTAACCACTACGTCACTTGTGGGCCCTCAAGGAGACAAATTTAATTTCAGCAATAAATATATAAAGGTATTTAATTTTGAGCATTTTATGCACCGTTTAGAAAATACAATGAATGAACAAGAAAAAAATACATCAATCTCACAGAGAAATGCCAATCTATTTACTGAACAAGAGAGTTAAATTTGTATGAGGCATTTAGTAACATCTAAGACACTCATGGTTCAGTATCCTTAAAGAATTCAGGACTTAAAGGCTGTGAATATTAACTTAATTTGTACCATTGTGCAAGATTCTAGATACAACCCTCAGTTTTCTGAAAATGAGAAAAATAATCAGATAATTGTTTTCAAAATTTGGTTGAAAGGTTATCATATTTTCCTTATCAAATTCATACTATTAAAAATGAAAACCTGGGCCTGCAGGTGGCATGGTAGTTAAGTCACTGAATCCAACATGTCTGACTGTGTAGTTCAAGTCTTAGACTTGATGGCTTGTTAAACACACAGATACATGTGCATGCATGCCTAATATCTTCAAAGAAGAATGGAAGAGATGGAGAAAGGATTGCTGTGTAGCCATTCCCTTTCAGGGGTGATTTCTTACTTTCCCTCTCTGTCGCTCTCTGGAGAGCGCATGCACCTTATGACAAAATCGAAAAAAAAAAAAATAGAAAGTTAAAGCTATTTCTATAACATTAAAAAAAAATTATCCATATATTTCTTGGGGGTAAATGGGAGAACATGAGAGAGAGATTTCCTATGAGTCCTTATGCCACATTTCACCCCAGCCTCAGCCAGCCTAGATCACAGGCATGTTGTGTGTCTGGCATACACAGGGAGATCTCGGGATGTGAACCCAGGACTCTCCCATGTGGCCTCAGGATTGCAGAGTACTGTATTACAGCTGTGCCACCACAGCTGGCCTATTCTTGTTAACATTTAAATAAATATTCCTTGATATTTTGTATGCTATTCAAGAACAGTATCAACTCAAAAGTAAGCACTGTAAAGGAAAAGGAGGTGGGCTATTTTTTGAAGTATTACATTTGTAAGCACAGGTAAGTCTTGGAGTCACTATGAAGAAATCAAGCAGTGAGACCTGAGATAGTCATGCAGTTCTACTTACCATGTACCTCTCCTGCTGCAATTTACTAAACGTTTCATAATCTGGTTTTAGCTCAATATCAACTACTTATTGTCCCCATGAGGTTATAAAAATGTTTATCCCTACTTCATTCCTGTGTGCCTCTATCTCCCCAAATGTACTTTTAATCTGTAACTCAAGAAGAATCTAACCAATTGCTAATGAACAGAAATATACAAATATACCTGCTTCATGTATGTGGTAATATTAATATATATATATATATATATATATATATATATATATATATATATATATATATATATAT